TGACTTGCACCTATAGATGTACTGCGTACGTAACGGCTTCAGGTAAGCAGCTAGACGAGCACTCATAGCGTTTAGAGCATACCTCTGGTTTGTGCTTAAAATAGACTCACTGTACAAACATACTTTTATGTGGAGGATCTGGGGTGGTTGTGGTTTTCCGGGGATGGGGATATGGGTGGGGAGGGAGGAGGAGACGTTGGAGTTTGGATTGAGTGTACGTGCGTGGTGATTGAGAGAGAGAGAGAGAGAGAGAGAGAGAGAGAGAGAGAGAGAGAGAGAGAGAGAGAGAGAGAGAGAGAGAGAGAGAGAGAGAGAGAGAGAGAGAGAGAGAGAGAGAGAGAGAGACAGAGAGACAGACAGAGACAGAGAGGGAGAGTAAGGGGGGAGGAAGGGATAGAGAGAAGGAGGAGAGGGGAAGAGAGAGGCTTTGAGACAGGGTGACTGAGAGTGTCATGATTATCAGGTCTTTCAACGGAGTGAGTGAGTGAGTTTAAGAAGACTCGGGTTCGATTCCCCACATGCGTACAATGTGTGAAGCCCATTTCTGGTGTCCCCCGCCGTGATATTGCTAAGAATATTGCTTAAAGCTGCTTAAAGCCATACTCACTCACTCACTCGTACATTAAGAAATGTGGCCCCGAGGATACGAAAGCCACGAACACTTTACACGTGGTATTCACTTCCTGAAAGTGGAAGACACCAAAAATGGGCTTCAAGTATAGCACAAGAGGGGGACAGAACCCGGGTCATCAGCGTGATGAGCGAATGCTTCAATACCTATAGACCAAACAACATAACATTGAAGTAAAGTAGACATTTTTGTCACTGCGGGCGATCTTCTCAACTAAACAACGTGTTTTTTATATAAAAAGCTTTCACTTTTAGGAAGCCATTCAGTAGGGGCTGTAAAACTTGACTTGCTCGGATGAATATTCTTTCAGTTGTGTAAGTTCACGAACTGTATCATTTACATCAGTCGTATGACTTAGCCCAGTGAAGCCGAGAGAGTCAAGACACAACAGGTATAGGCCGATGTCGTGACAGTCAGACAGTATCGAGGCTGTCTGCTATGTAGTAGCTATGTGACTTAATAATCACTGTGTCCACCTTTCACATTCCAAATAATTCCCTAATCAGTTCCCGATTAATGACAATACTGTTGGCTACGTTTGTAACGGACAAGCTTATAACAATAATGTAATTTTTTCATCAGTTCCCGATTAACGACAATACTGTTGGCTACGTTTATAACGAACAGGCTTATAACAATAATGTAATTTCTTCCATCAGTTCCCGATTAATGACAATACTTTCTTCCATCTGTTCCCGATTAATGACAATACTGTTGGCTACGTTTTAACGGACAATCTTATAACAATAATGTAATTTCTTCCATCAGTTCCCGATTAATGACAATACTGTTGGCTACGTTTTTAACGGACAATCAACCAATCAATCAATCAATCTTTATTTCAGTACTTAAAAAGACCACAGGCCTGTAGTACATTTAGAGTTTACATGAGTAGATAGAAGTCATTTATAAATTCTTTTCTGCAACAATACTTTTTCTTAATCTCATAGCGAAATAGATGTACATTGCCAGATTCTGTAATATTGATGTGGTAGTATCTGTTAATAGTGAAATTAATGTTCTTACACTTGGATGCTTATAATAAAGTATGGCTTTAGGTATTTTGTTCGTAGAGTCGTATAAACAGGACAGATTAGAAGAAAATGTAGTTCATCCTCAACAGTACTCATATTACGTAACTGACATATTCTGTTTTCTCTTTGTATACCTGCATACCTGCCAGTTTCAATAAATAATTCATGGGAATTCATGACAATCTTATAACAATAATGTAATTTCTTCCATCTGTTCTCGATTAATGACAATACTGTTGGCTACGTTTGAAACGAACAGGTTTATGACAATGACAATACTGTTGGCTACGTTTGTGACGAACAGGCTTATAACAATAACGTAATTTCTTCGATCTGTTCCCGATTAATAACAAGACTGTTGGCTACGTTTGTTACGAACAAGCTTATATCAATAATGTAATTTCTTCCATCAGTTCCCGATTAATGACAATACTGTTGGCTACGTTTGTAACGAACAGACTTATAACAATAATGTAATTTCTTCGATCTGTTCCCGATTAATGACAATACTGTTGGCTACGTTTGTAACGAAAAAGCTTATATCAATAATGTAATTTCTTCAATCAGTTCCCGATTAATAACAAGACTGTTGGCTACGTTTGTAACGAACAGGCTTATAGCAATAATGTAATTTTTTCCATCAGTTCCCGATTAATGACAATACTGTTGGCTACGTTTGTAACGAACAGGCTTATAGCAATAATGTAATTTCTTCCATCAGTTCCCGATTAATGACAATACTGTTGGCTACGTTTGTAACGATCAGGCTTATAACAATAATGTAATTTCTTCCACCAGTTCCCGATTAATGACAATACTGTTGGCTACGTTTGTAACGAACAGGCTTATAACAATAATGTAATTTCTTCCATCAGTTCCCGATTAATGACAATACTGTTGGCTACGTTTGTAACGAACAGCAAAAACAATAATGTAATGTCTTCCATCAGTTCCCGATTGATGACAATACTGTTGGCTACGTTTGTAACGAACAGGCTTTAAAACAATAATGTAATTTCTTCCATCAGTTCCCGATTGATGACAATACTGTTGGCTACGTTTGTAACGAACAAGCTTAAAACAATAATGTAATTTCTTCCATCAGTTCCCGATTGATGACAATACTGTTGGCTACGTTTGTAACGAACAGGCTTATAACAATAATGTAATTTCTTCCATCAGTTCCCGATTAATGACAATACTGTTGGCTACGTTTGTAACGAACAGGCTTAAAACAATAATGTAATGTCTTCCATCAGTTCCCGATTGATGACAATACTGTTGGCTACGTTTGTAACGGACAAGCTTATAACAATAATGTAATTTCTTCCATCAGTTCCCGATTGATGACAATACTGTTGGCTACTGCTTAAAACAATAATGTAATGTCTTCCATCAGTTCCCGATTGATGACAATACTGTTGGCTACGTTTGTAACGAACAAGCTTATAACAATAATGTAATTTCTTCCATCAGTTCCCGATTAATGACAATACTGTTGGCTACGTTTGTAACGAACAGGCTTAAAACAATAATGTAATGTCTTCCATCAGTTCCCGATTGATGACAATACTGTTGGCTACGTTTGTAACGGACAAGCTTATAACAATAATGTAATGTCTTCCATCAGTTCCCGATTAATGGCAATACTATTGGCTACAATTGTAACGAACAACTTTATAGGGATTACACATTTCTTAAATTAGTTTCCGATCAATAACACTACTGATATCTACGTTTGTAAGGAACAATGTTATAACAAACTGATGAAGAGTTTTGTTTGTTCTGAATACTTGCTGTATATTTCAGTCCAAGTTCGAATTATGAACTACGGTTATAATGAATTAAATTTAGCCGTCCATTTGAAGTTCATTGTAACTGTAGTGTGCTGTAACAAAAATAATGATGGTGATGATGGTGGTGATGATGATGGTGATGATGATGATGATGATGTCAGGTATTGCAGGGATATAATCATGACTGATGTTTCATTCGGAGATAGGCAAACAAAAACCGTATCTCTCATTTTGCGTTTAATTTTTTAACTGATAACACAGGATCATGATGGTGATGATGATGATGATGATGATGATGAAGATGATCCACCGGTAAAGCCCTTTACTCAACACGGTCTTAGCGCACATAAAAATATTCAGCTAAGTCGATAATAGTGAGTGAGTGAGTGAGTTTAGTTTTACGCCGCGCTTAGCAATATTCCAGCTATATGGCGACGGTCTGTAAATAATCGAGTCTGGACCAGACAATCCATTGATCAACAGCATGAGCATCGATCTGCGCAATTGGGAACCAATGACATGTGTCAACCTAGTCAGCGAGCCTGACCACCCGATCCTGTTAGTCGCCTCTTACGACAAGCATGGGTTACTAAAGGCTCCTTCTAACCCGGACCTTCACGGGTCTCAATAATAGTGAGATTGAAAAGTTAAATTTATTTATCGGCTGTTATAGATCTACTGCTGAATAAACTCTCAGCTTGTGTTAGAGTTTTTTCGCTCGATTACAGCAAAAAGTAATTCCGTGTTTCCAAAATGAATGAATAAATAAATAAAATAAATAAATAAATAAATAAATAAATAAATAAATAAATAAATAAATAAATAAATAAATGAATAAATGAATGAATGAATGAATGAATGAATGAATAAATAAATAAATAAATAAATAAATAAATAAATAAATAAATAAATAAATAAATAGATAGATAGATAGATAGATAGATAGATAGATAGATAGATAGATAGATAGATAGATAGATAGATAGATAGATAAATAAATAGATAGATAGATAGATAGATAAATAAATAAATAGATAAATAAATAAATAAATAAATAAATAAATAAATAAATAGAGCTTAAAGTGACATCAGCCTAAACTCTGCAAAAATAAGCAAAGGCGCCTAAAGGATGGGAACACGACCATGATCCACTCACATCCCCTCTTCAGGAGGGAGCCCTGAATGAAATGTCCGATTTCGGGATTCATTATCAACTTGTAAATATGTTATGTGTTCATGATGTGTGGGTGAATTACACGATTAAATCTCAGGTAATTCCGCATCTCTGGACAGCAGTACTGTCGGTCGTCAAAATATGACGTATTCGTGTGTTATTATCTGTGTATGAACAAACGACAGATCTACGAGGTGTATGTTAACGAACAGGGTGCCGTTGTACAAAGCGATCTTAGTGCTAAGGTGACCGTAACTCCCATACCTTAACATAGACTTAAGGTAGTCTTAGCGCTAAGGTTTTTTGAACAACGGCACCCTGGTTTCTGGGTACGATAAAGAGACATGGAAGAGTATTACGCTCACCTGTATACTGATTCAGATTCTCTCTCCTAGCTGTAACTCACGGGCAGGTGTACTATACTCCGCTCACATCTCCCTGTGATCCATATCTTCGTTCAAGCTTGATATATGTGGCTTCACAAATAGCTGAATCATACCTACCTATAGCTATTGAATTTGCACAAAGCTCACGCAATGTACACACTGGTTCGTCTCAAGCGTGTATTATGTCTGTTGCAATAGGTTAGAAGGTTCACACCTCTTCGACGGGACTCTGGAAATAAAAACTACAGGATATCACATAGTTTTCGTCATCGTCATGAAAAACACTGAGAGAACAATTCTGCAGTTACGTTAATTGAATTGACGTTATTTCTGTCTCACTTCAGCCCCGAGTGAGTGAGTGTTGTTTTACGCTGCTTTTAGGTGGGGTGAGGTGAGGTGAGGTGAGGTGAGGTGAGGTGAGGTGAGGTGAGGTGAGGTGAGGTGAGGTGAGGTGAGGTGAGGTGAGGTGAAATTGGGTTTAACGTCGTGCTTGAGAATATTTCGCTCATATGACGACGTGCATGCGTGTGTATGTGTATGTGCGGCTGCTTGTACTAGCCCAGACTTAATCTGGTTTTATAGTGCTAGCCCACTGAGATACCATGCCGCAGTGAAGCATGAATACCCCACTCAGACACATTATACTGACTCCGAGCCGACCAGTCCTTGTTGTACCCATTAATGCCGAGCACCAGGCAGGGACCAACAAGTACCATATTTTAACGTCTTTTGGTATGACGCGGTCGGGGATCGAACCCGCGACCTTCCGCTCTCCGGGCGGACGCTCTAACCACTACACCACGGAGGCGGTCTACGCCACTTTTAGCAATATTCCAGCAGCATCACGGCGGGCGACAACAGAAATGAGGTTCACACATTGTACCCATTTCGGGAATCAAACCCGGGTCTTCGGCTTTACGAGCAAACGCTTTAACTATGACGCTACCCCACCACCGCATAATATGTAAAACTGATCTGCAGTAGAGTCACCAGACAGAAAACCCTACTGGAAGTTAGCACATCATTATTTTATACAGATTCATTGACAAGAAGACCCGTGAAGATACGGGTTAGAATTGGCCTTCAGCAACCCATGCTTGTCGTAAGAGGCTCCCTGACTTGGATGACACATGTCATCGTATCTCAATTGCGTATATCGATGCTCATGCTGTTGATCAGTGGATTATCTAGTCCTGACTCGATTGTGTACAGATTATTTATTTAATATTTTTAAAATGTCGCTTTTGTTCATCGGTCGTATCCAGGGTTTTTGTGGACAGAATTATCCTAGAAATATTTAGATTAGAAAAGAAATGCATCACATTGATAACTGATATATTGGACTCACCAATATATCTGTAAATATTCGAGTCTGGGCCAGACAATCCAGTGACTGAGATCACGAGCGTCGATCTTCGCACCAGAGCATGGGTTGCTGAAGATCAGTTCTAACACTGATTTACACAATTCCAGAAAATGAATTTGTCTCATTTGCAGTATTTCTGCAGTAGTAAATCAGACTGCTATGATCGAGTGAGTGAGTGAGTGAGTTTAGTTTTACGCCGCTTTTAGCAATAGTCCGGCAATATCACGGCGGGGGACACCAGAAATGGGCTCCACACATTGTACCCATGTGAGGAATCGAAGCCAGGTCTTCAGCGTCACGAGCGAACGCTTTAACCAACTCGGCTACCCCACCGCCCCCTGCTATGATTGAGGAAACACAAGATGGAATAATCTCCACTCTAAATTCAGACTTAGACTTTATTTTGTGTTCTTTAATGTTTGATGTCAAATGCCTTAGAGTGTATTCTAGACAAAACGGATGGTACATTTTCACTTTGACATCAACAATTCCTTGATACTTTCTGATATCGATGGCATAGTGACAATCACTGGATTGTCTGGTCTTGACTCGATTTGTTTCCAAACAACATCGTACAGCTGTAACAATTATATAGTCATGATATAGTAACATCGTACAATATCCTCTGCTTTTGGCAGAGATTTCTTATAAGTGTATTCTATGTCTTTCAATTCAGTACCATACCCCTCATAAACTCACTCACTCATCCTTTGGACAATTCGATAGCAGCAAACGCAAACCCTGTACTGAACACAAATATACCATTTGTAAGTGGACACCATGACAATCAGAAAAGACACACATATATATTATGCTTATCTCAAGCCTAAACACTGATTGACTGAGGGTTCCAACTGACGTAATGTCAGATATTCACACAGAGTTACTCGAACTGATCCTAAGTAAAAGATCTCATTTTAACAAGAAGACAAAGTCATCAATATCCCCCGCAATGGCAAAATACTCTTCATGATTATGTCTACGAGTTATGATTATGTCAAATATTTAGGTGTGTACAGAAAAGTGGAAGGAGAGTATTGAAAGGTTTTTAAAGTTCTGCTCCAGAAAGCAGTACTATCACCAATTTCAGAATTCCAAAACTACCAAAAGGCACCAGTACACCACCAGATCTATCTATGTGCCAAGTTTGGTGATGAAATAGTGAACAGTTTTAGAGTTCTGCTCCAGAAAAGAGCACTACCACCAATTTTAGGCTAAGTCAAACTTGTTGCCATGGAAATGCCAAAAATATTTTATTCAGAATTCCAAAACTACCAAAAGGCACTAGTACACCACCAGATCTATCTATGTGCCAAGTTTGGTGAAGAAATAGTGAACAGTTTTAGAGTTCAACTCCGGAAAAGAGCACTACCACAATTTCAGGCTAAGTCGAACTTGTTGCCATGGAAACGCCAAATATATTTTATTCAGAATTTCAAAACTACCAAAAGGCACCAGTACACCACCAGATCTATCTATGTGCCAAGTTTGGTGAAGAAATATTGAACGGTTTTAGAGTTCAGCTCCGGAAAAGAGCACTACCACCAATTTCAGGCTAAGTTTGTTGCCATGGAAACGCCAAAATATTGAATTTCAAAACTACCAAAACAGTACAACACCAGATCTATCTATGTGTGAAGTTTGGTGAAGAAATATTGAACGGTTTTAGAATTCAGCTCCGGAAAAGAGCACTACCACTAATTTCAGTCAAAGTCGAACTTGTTGCCATTGAAACGCCAAAAATATTTAATTCAGAATTCCAAAACTACCAAAAGGCACCAGTACACCACCAGATCCATGTATGTGCCAAGTTTGGTGAAGAAATATTGAACGGTTTTAGAGTTCTGCTCCGGAAAAGACAAATGTGCACGGACCGACGGACGCACGGACGGAGTCCATTTTAATACCCCCCGCAAAACGCGTTGCGGGGGATAATAAGATTGATTTTATTTACTGGGAGAACTTCCAAGATTGATTCGGGTTAGAATTTGTCTTCAGTAACCCATGCTTGTCGTTGGAGGCAACTAACGGGATCGGCTGGTCAGGCTCGTTAACTTGGTTGACACGTAATCGTATCGTAGATTGTCTGGTCGAGATTAGATTATTTACAGATCGCAAAGTGCAGCGTAAAACTAAACTTACTCACTCACTTATACAAATATGAGCAGTTATTTTCGTGTGCAAATTAGGTATATGTGTTTCAAAGTGTTTTGGACATTTTTACTTTGTCTTTCATTATGTTTGCCACAGTCACTTAATATGAAAACAAGCAAATAATTTCCAGGACACGTTTTCCTTCCCATCAATTGTTTTCACATCTGCATTTGTTTGTGTTATACTTGATATCGACTGTACATGGAAAGAGGCAAAATTTTCCAGCATAAAATTAAATTTCCTTGATTTCTTGTGTTAGCCTTTGTATCACATTTGATATTTGAAATTGAATTTGTCTTATTTGTTGAGTACATGTAAGCAAAAAAAACCCCCCAAAACAGCATAACTGGATATTATTTAATAAAGGCTTTTATTTGGAAAACATTTCTTTCAAAGTATAAATTTGTAAATATTATGTACAATCACATATATGAATGTATAAAAGCCATTTGTAAATAGTTCCTTCACAGACTACTAGTATATAAATCAGTATATAGATGCTATAATTGAACAACATATATATGCATGATTCTATAAAGTGCCAAAACATGTTAAGTTGAGTACCACATTGACAAGGTGAGCTATCATCTGGTTGACTGCCAATACAACCCATTGTGCGGATGACCTTACAATGTGCAGACAGTCAGGAGGACAAAACAGTCCAGATGAACTATCATCTTGGAGACACTCTGGTGAACCACATGTGATATAGGTGAGCTATCACCTAGTCGACAGTCAGGAGGACAATAATTATCCAGGTGAGCTCTCATCCAGTACTCTTTTAGGAAGATAACACATGACACAGGTGAGCTATCACCTTGTCGACAGACAGGAGGACAACAATTATCCAGGTGAGCGATCATCTAGTTGACTGTCAGGAAGATAACACATGACACAGGTGAGCTATCACCTAGTCCACAGTCAGGAAGACAACAGTTATTCAGGTGAGATATCACCTAGTAGACAGTCAGTTGGACAACAATTATCCAGGTGAGCTATCACATAGCAAATCGTCAGGAAGATAACACATGATACAGGTGAGCTATCACCTAGTCAACAGTCAGGAGGACAAGAATTATCCAGGTGAGCTATCACATAGCAAATCGTCAGGAAGATAACACATGATACAGGTGAGCTATCACCTAGTCAACAGTCAGGAGGACAAGAATTATCCAGGTGAGCCATCATCCAGTTGACTGTCAGGAAGATAACACATGACACAGGTGAGCTATCACCTAGTATCACAAGAATTATCTAGTGGCTACTGTCAGAAAGACAAGAATTATGACTGTCAGGAAGAAAACACATGACACAGGTGAGCTATCACCTAGTCCGACAGTCAGGAGGACAACAATTATCCAGGTGAGCAATCATCTAGTTGACTGTCAGGAAGATAACACATGATACAGGTGAGCTACTAGTGGACTGAGTCAGAAAGACAATTATCTAGGTGAGCTATCACCAGGACAATTATCAGGGAGGACAAAGTTACAGGTGAGCCAGGTGAAAGATCACATCAGGAAGATAACACATGACACAGGTAAGCTATCACCTAGTCGACAGAGAGGAGGACAACAATTATCCAGGTGAGCTATCACCTAGTTGACTGTCAGGAAGATAACACATGACACAGGTGAGCTATCACCTAGTCCATAGTCGGAGTACAACAATTATCCAGGTGAGTTATCACCTAGCAGACTGTCAGGAAGACAACACATGACACAGGTGAGCTATCGCCTCACAGACATGTACAGTAAGGACAACATTTGTGCAGGTGAGTTATCATCTAGTAGACATTCGGGAGAACCATATGTGATCCAGGTGAGATATCACCTAACAGAAAACACATGAAACAGGTGAGCTGTCAGTGAACAGACAGTCACGAAAATTGTCCAGGTGAGCTATCATCTAGGAGACATTCAGGAGGACTACATCTGAGAATCATGTGATTCAGTTGAGCTTTCACCTAGCGGACTGTCAGGAGGAAAACAGCTGTCCAGGTGAGCTATCATCTAGTTGAGTGAGTGAGTGAGTGAGTATGGTTTTACGCCGCTTTTAGCAATATTCAAGCAATATCATGGAGGGGACACCAGAAATGAGCTTCACACATTGTACCATGTGGTGAATCGAACCCGGGTCTTCAGCGTGACGAGCGGGCACTTTAACCACTAGGCTACCTCACCGCCCCTCATCTAGTTGAGCAATCATCTAGTAGACTCTCAGGAAGACAAAATGTCATTCAGTAGAGCTATCACCTTGCATACAGTCAGGTAGACACCACATGACACAGGTGTGCTGTCAATGAGTAGACCGCCATGGAGGTAACAACTGTCCACTTGAGCTGTCACTAGCAAACTGTCAGGCCGACCACATCATTCATAGCATTTCATATGAACTTTGGAATGTAAATGCTTGATTGACATGGGAACAATACACAGACCATCCTCTCAATACACTGTTGGTCATTTAAATTACAAACACAAGCAATATGAGCACTATGTGCTAAAGCTCGTGAAATAAAAGAATCATACATCCGTGAAGATCTGGGTTAGAATTGATCTTCAGCAACCCGACTAACGGAATGGTGGTGAGGTGAGGTGAAGTGAGGTGAAATTGGGTTTAATGTCGTGCTTGAGAATATTTCGCTCATATGACGACGTGCATGCGTGTGTATGTGTATGTGTGGCTGCTTGTACTAGCCCAGACTGAAGCTGGTTTTATAGTGCTAGCCCACTGAGTGAAGCATGAATACCCCACTCAGACACATTATACTGACTCCAAGCCGACCAGTCCTTGTTGTACCCATTAATGCCGAGCGCAAGGCAGGGACCAACAAGTACCATATTTTAACGTCTTTTGGTATGACGCGGTCGGGGATCGAACCCACGACCTTCCGCTCTCCGGGCGGACGCTCTAACCACTACACCACAGTCAACGGAATGGGGTGGGCGGGCTTGCTGCCTTTGTTGACACGTTACCAGATCCCAATTGTGTAGATCAATGCTCATGTTCTTGATCACTTGATTGTCTGGTCCAGACTCTATTATTTACAGACCGACGCTGAGTGCGGCGTAAAACTAAACTCACTAACTTAATCACTAGAAAAATGTTTTTTGAGATCACTAGCCATGTCAGCTATAGCTGCTCTCCCTACTTCAAAAACTTCCGCAACCAGTATTGAATGTATTGCAATGTAATGTCTGTGTTCCACCTTAATCCCTGCTCTTCTCAGACGCTCAGCGTACAGGATACTTTCATCTCGCAGCACGTCATACTCCGCTGTGACCATCAGAGTTGGAGGAACTCCGGAGAAATCCTCAGCAAGAAGAGGAGCCAAGAATGGGTCAGTTGCCCTCGATACAATCTCCTCCCAAAGGGTCTCATTTCCATGATCTACATCTCTCACTGCTGCCTCCTTCAGAAACCTCTTCGGCAAATTGGCATTGGCATCAACGAAATCAGCATATTTTGACAGTTTTGCTGATGGTGAAGTGTGGTGGTTGTGTAACATTGCCTCAGCAAGATCGGGATGGGATGTCTGTCCAATGTAGGCAGCCCAGTACCAAGCCATATCTTCAGGGCCTGTGGAGAAGAAGTTCAAGGGATTTGTGTAGGAAGGCAGCTTGAAGTCAAAAGGCTGAACACAAGGGTAGATAAGCAGCTGGAACGACAGGCGTGGGAGTTGTTGTTGCGAAGTTTGAGTGTAACGGCTGCAGCCAGATTTCCCCCAGCACTGTCTCCTGAAACAAGATGAGTGGGTGTTAATAACACAGTGAGTGAGGAATTATTCACGGCAAGGATGTTATTAAGAAAATAACATTGACTGAAGCCTGAAATTACATTTGAAAGTTGTGGTATAGCAAAAACTGACTCTTTTAGTCAATGATTACACCAGAGCATTTAAGACAGTGAGTGAGTGATTATTATGGCGAGGATGTCATTAAAAAAATAACACTGACTAAGCCCAAATTATATTTGAAAGTTTTGGTATAACATGAGATGACTTCATTCTGTTAGCCAAAGATAATACCAGAGCATTTAAGACAGAGAAAGTGATTATTCATGGCGAGGATATGATTAAGAAAATAGCGTTGAATAAAGCCTAAAGTGCACTTGGAAGTTGTGGTAGAATCCAAAATGGATTTCATTCAGGTAGCTAAAGAATACATCAGTGCATGCTAATGGTGATATTTTTAAATTCAGTGGCATTTTAATACTGTATGTTGAAACTGCATTCAATGAATACCATAAAACAATGCATTAAAGCCTCCTTCTCACTGTTGGTCCTATTACCAGTGAAATACAAGTCAACTCCAAGCACATGCATTGGTGCTTATAATTCCAAATTGGGAAATTTTTCCTGCAATTTGTTGAAGATTTTCGGCAAGCATTGGCTATTGAGGACATCTAGATAAAAATGCTTTAGGATCAAAAAGTGACGTTGACAGAAATTAAAATTCAGTGTTTGTTGCAGCTGCTTCTTATCAAAGAACTAACACTTGCAGGGTCAGATGAGCATCAGCTTTATGGCCACTTCAAAAGCAATGTTGTGGTGCATATATATGTAGGGGAAGATACTCCATTAAATTCCATTCAGTATTCACTCCTATATGGAAATATCAAGGAGCACGTGCTCCTGATCATGAGAAATTATCTGGAGCCCTGATCTTTTATGGCCACTTCAACATGACAATCTGATCTTTCCTTGATCCTCATGAAGGGAGACAACTCTTACCTCCCACAGCAATCTTGGTGCCGTCCACGCCGTACTGTTGTGGATTCTGCAGCAGGTGTAGTGTGGCCGTCACACAGTCTTCAAACGGGATGGGGAAAGGGTGCTCCGGAGCAAGGCGGTATCTGGAGACAAGGTTGGACTAAAACTTGACTTGTAGATACTTTGAAGTCATTTCCAACCAACAAAAATATTATGTCTTGAAAAGAGGCAAGAAATATGTTGCATGTACTTCATGAATAACATTATAAGGATGGATGCTTGAAAGCAGTATCACAAAAAGTTCTGTTGCTGAAAAAATAAAAGAATTTTCATATAATTTTAAAATACATTTTCAAGCTAAAAAATTCTAGAAAACTAGAAATCCTTTAAAAGACAACTAGAATGCATATTGATTTGGTTGGTGTATGTTTACAGACTGAAATTATTCTAAATCCATCAATATCTGTTGTGAGTTTAGTATTACACCATAACAATATTCCAGCAATATCATGGTGGGGACACCCGAAATGGGCTTTACACATTGTACCCATATGGGGAATCGAACCCGGGTCTTGGCGTGACAAGCGAACGCTTTAACCACTAGGCTACCCCATCGCCCCAATATCTGTAACAGCTTTAAAGGAAGTCAAATGATAAACAAAGACCTGACCCCAGAGAATATATGCCAATGGAACAATCACTCTGTCCAAGTCATCAGCTTCAAAAGTGTATAATTGTTTATAAATACCTTGAACACAGACTTAAGAAAATAAAAGCCATGTTTTGGCCTTCAGCAAAAACTTGTAGAATAAGCACATAATCCCTGTATTTTGATCTTTGGTCTCAATATTGTCTGATTCAGCTGCATATCATACATAGCCCTGTCTTTAATATCGCCCTTTTTAAGAATCAAACTGAATCAATTCAATAAGCTCGTCAGCATCCATTAAAATGTGTAGCATCCACAAATCTGTCTCTTTTTTATATAACATTTTTTATTAAAATAGATTTTAAATATTTAACTTGACATAGTGTTGATAAGAAATTATCTGGAAGTCTACTTAGAAAAAAGGATTTGTTAACCCCCACAAACTCATAAAAACTATACCATACAAGCTTGCACACAGGAGGACAGACACAGTATAAGCTGCTGCTTCTGTAAAAATGAACCTTCTTTATCCAAACAGTTTAGTGTCGGTGGAGTAGCCTAGTGGTTAAAGTGTGAAGACCATTCGGCACACTGAAGACCTGGGGCAGTGGGGATTCCCCACATGGGTACAAAATGTGTGAAGCCCATTTCTGGTGTCCTCCACCATGATATTGCTGGAATATTGCTAAAAGCGGCATAAAACTAAACTAATCTCCAAACAGTTTAAGAAGCAGATAACATAAATGAACAGAGAAACATACTCAACTGACACCACCAGTATGTTTGCTGACTCAGCTATTTGTCTGGTGAAGCTGTCATATAAGGCTGAAAACAAAACAATATTTCAACATATCTGTTGAGTGAGTTTAGTTTTATGCCGCAGTCAGCAATATTCCAGCTGTATGGCAGCGGTCTGTAAATAATCGAGTCTGGACCAGACAATCCAGTGATCAACATCATGTGCATTGATCTACTCAATTGGGAAAAGCCGATGACATGTAAGTCAGCGAAGCCTGACCACCCGATCCCGTTAGGTAAGCCTCTTAAGACAAGCATGGGTTACTGAAGATCAATATTCGAACTCCAGACATTCATTCACGAGTGAGTGAGCATGTGAGTGAGTGAGTGAGTGCGAGTGCGTGAGTGAGTGAGTGAGTGAGTTTACTGGTGAGATTTATTATGAATGGAATATAATGAGCAATACTGATGATGGGGGACCAGCCTCAATCAACCTATATAATGCTATTTTATGTGGGACTCATTTGATTCAGTTCCAATCACTAAGTATCAACTGGAAAATTTGATATTATACATTTATTTAAATCGTATTAGAACTTCCCTTTAAGTATAGCACATTTTCCTCTCAACTCTTGTGGTGGGCTCAGCATGACAGTGTTCATATGGAAGCATTTTGTTCAAGAAATTGAAAACATGCCATGTTTTTAAAATACTATACTTCAGGGCTCCAGATAATTTTTCATGATCAGGAGTACGTACTCCTTATGTTTTCAATATAGGAGTACTGGAAAACAATAAGAGTACATTTAGAGTACTGAATGGAATTTAATGGCGTATCAGTAATCTTGTGTTTCGTTTCATATATGCACCACAACATTGCTACTCTTGTGTAAACAGGTCAATAAACAATAAAACAATACTTTTCAGATAAATACGTCTGTAAATGATTCTGAAACCGTACACCATTGCTGTGGTCCGTATCTGCTACGTTTTTAAAATTGTTTCCTACCGTATCGTGCTTATTTTAAATCCATACATACGCAGATACGGCCCTTATCTGGAGCCCTGATACTTGGTGATGAGGCCTGAATAACATAAAATAGCCTTAGATGGGTGGATCGTTTATACTACTCAGAGGCACTTTATTAATGTGAGCAAGAAGATCTTGCTTCTTGGCATTAGTCTCATGCTTGGAACCCGTGAAGATCCGGGTTAGAATTGGTCTTCAGCAACCCATGCTTGTCGTAAGAGGCGACTAATGGGATTGGGTGGTCAGGCTCACTGACTTGGTTGACACATGTCATCATATCCCAATTGCATGTATATATGTAAACATGATTTAGTTCCAGTAGTAAATGTTCGGTTCGGAATAAATGCCGTGAAATTGAGAATGGATGACACAAATAAAAATTCAATACACACGGCAAATATTCCATCGAAAAGGAACAAATACCGTGAGGCCTAACCTATTCCAGTCATTATTGAATGCAAAATGGACTCATCCAATCGTCAACATCCGGGATGTCTACTAACTTCAACTTGGTTACATGCTGACTGTAACTTGGCTACTGACTAACTGTAACTTGGTTACATGTTGACTGTAACCTGGCTACTGACTGTAACTTGGTTACATGTCGACTGTAACCTGGCTACTAACTGTAACCCGGTTACATGCTGACTGTAACTTGGCTACTGACTAACTGTAACTTGGTTACATGCTGACTGTAACTTGGCTACTGAATGTAACTTGGTTACATGTTGACTGTAACTTGGTTACATGTCGACTGTAACCTGGCTACTGACTGTAACTTGGTTACATGTCGACTGTAACCTGGCTACTGACTGTAACTTGGTTACATGTTGACTGTAATATGGCTACTGACTAACTGTAACTAGGTTACATGTTCACTAACCTGGCTACTGACTGACTGTAACTTGGTTACATAGTGACTGTAACCTGGCTACCGACTAACTGTAACTTGGTTACATGTTGACTGTAATCCGCTACTGACTGTTAATTGTTACATGTTGACTGTAACCTGGCTACTGACTGACTGTTAATTGGTTACATGTTGACTGTAACCTGGCTACTGACTAACTTGGTAACATGTTGACTGTAACCTGGCTACTGACTAACTCTAACTTGGTTACATATTGAATGTAACCTGGCTACTGACCAACTGTAACTTGGTCACATGACTGTAACCTGGCTACTGACTGACTGTAACTTGGTTACATGTTGACTGTAACCTGGCTACTGACTGTAACCTGATTAATGAAGGTAACTTGGTTACATAATAACTGAACTCTGAACACAAGATTCATTTAGAATCATCAGTTCGCGATTCTGGGGAATCTACAATGTATTTTCATCAAAAAATTAAGTAACTTTCATACATGATAATTGCTTCTTGATAGTTACATGATTTGTTCCAAATGGAACAAATACCGCGAGGAAAATCTTTTTTTCCTTTCCGTTCCCCACGCCCCCAATTTTAAGACCACCCCAACAAACAAAACCCTCTTTTAGACACTTTATGATGTGTGTGGAAGTTCCTCTTACCCGTAATAAATTCTGTGTGTAATGCGGAATGAAATAATTGTTCCGCATGCACTATTACAGGAACAAATGTTGGAATGAAAAGTTCCACCGGGAACTTTTACTATGGGGAACCAAATCTTTTTACATATACTCATGCTGTTGGTCACTGGATTGTCTGATCGAGATTGTTTACGGACCCTCGCCATATAGCTGGAATATTGCTGAGTGCAACATTAAAAATGACCAACCAACCAATTCATGCTTGGATTAACGTTCATGATTTAAAATATGTAGTCTTACCAAAATAAATATCCAGTTTTCATGCTTTTTCATCCATTTACAGTAAATGTACACAAAGCTGCCCAGGCCGTTATGCTGAACAAAGATAAGTTGGTTGGTTTGTTGTTTAACGCTGAACTCAGCAATATTCCAGCTGTATTGCAGCTGTCTGTAGTGAGAGAGTGAGTGAGCATGGTTTTACACCATTTTTAGCAATATTCCAGCAATATCATTGTGGAGGACACCAGAAAAGGGCTTCACACATTGTACCCATGTGGGTAATCGAACCCGGGTCTTCAGCGTGACGAGCAAACAAACACCTTAACCACTAAGCTACTCTACTGCCCACGGCAGTCTGTAAATAATCAATTCTGGACCGTTAAACGCCTCTTACGACAGGCATTGGTTGCTGAAGACCGGGATCTTCACGGGTCTAACAGAGAAAAGATAAAAAATGAAATGCCTTCCACCTACCTCTTGTTGAAAATTTTGATGGAAATATATTCAATAACTAATTCATTGTAGTCTAACATTGATGAATATACATGTTTTACTGACCAATACTTCCGAATGTCCACCCTCCGCCATGGAAATATATCAGAGCTGGACTGGGAGTGTTGACACTCTTGGGGCGGTATATTGTGACTTTCACACCATCAAAAAGCGTGTCTGTGACCTGTAGCAACATAACAACAATGTGTCAGTGACCTGTAGCAACATAACCATGTGTCAGTGACCTGTAGCAACATAACAACCATGTGTCAGTGATCTGTAGCAACATAACAACCATGTGTCAGTGATCTGTAGCAACATAACAACCATGTGTCAGTGACCTGTAGCAACATAACAACCATGTGTCAGTGATCTGTAGCAACATAACAACCATGTGTCAGTGATCTGTAGCAACATAACAACCATGTGTCAGTGACCTGTAGCAACATAACAACCATGTGTCAGTGATCTGTAGCAACATAACCATGTGTCAGGGACCTGTAGCAACATAACAACCATGTGTCAGTGACCTGTAGCAACATAACAGCCATGTATCAGTTATCTGTAGCAACATAACCACCATGTGTCAGGGACCTGTAGCAACATAACCCGCATGTGAGAGTGACTGGAGCAGCATAACAACCATGTGTCAATGAGCCTGTAGCAACATAAAAACCATGTGTCAGTGACCTGTAGCAACATAACCATGTGTCAGTGACCTGTAGCAACATAACAACCATGTGTCAGTGACCTGTAGCAACATAACAACCATGTGTCAGTGACCTGTAGCAACATAACCATGTGTCAGTGACTTGTAGCAACATAACCATGTGTCAGGGACCTGTAGCAACATAACCATGTGTCAGTGACCTGTAGCAACATAACCATGTGTCAGTGACTTGTAGCAACATAACCATGTGTCAGGGACCTGTAGCAACATAACCATGTGTCAGTGACTTGTAGCAACATAACCATGTGTCAGGGACCTGTAGCAACATAACAACCATGTTTGTTTAAAAGTAGCAACATAACCCATGTTTGTTTAGTAGGAACCAACACACATAGGTACTGCTTCAATATGCTTCCAAATGTCATGCACTTCGAGTTTTATGTATAAATATAACCGAACAAGTGAAAACATATTGAGATAATTACAAACTGGCAGAGCAAACATGATATGTTATGAACAAGAGTTACAAATGATTACAAACGCAAGTTCTATTCATTTACCCACAAGGCCACATTTCATACCCACATATTACCTACTTGGCCGATAGGCTTTTTAGAAAGATATTACAAACTGATCACCGCAGCAGGCCAGCATGGAATAGACGACATTAGCAGTGTTCAGTCATGCATTTCTATAAAGAGAGCCCATGGCCCACCAGCCCTCAGTTATGAGGGTCATTTAGAAAATATTTTGGGTCATGACTGACTGACTGAGTTTGGTTTTACGCCGCTTTAGCAATATTCCAGCAACATCACGGGCGGGGACACCAGAAATGGCTTCACACATTGTACCCATGTGGGGATTCAACCCGGGTCTTTGGCATGACGCGAGCGAATGCCTTAACTATTAGGCTACCCCATCGCCCTTTTGGGTCATGAAGAATGATGATACTTTTATGGATATACAAATTCTTTATTCTGTCAAAGGCCATTTCAATCTATTGTAATAACAACTCATCCATATATTCTCTCACTTTTTTTCTCATGTATGTCGAAATGTCACCTTTCACAGAATAAAGAAGTATATCCATAAAATTATCATTTTTATCACTTCATCATCACGATATGGCTGAAATATTGCCGATTTGACGCTAAATATTAACTCACTCACTCATCACCTCAACTTCTATAAATGCACATCAAAGAAGTCATTGTGTGTCATGTCAAATTGCTGTGACTTTTTAGCCATACACAACTAGTTACTAGTATGAGTTCACATCCTTTTATAAACTTTCCCCGCCGTGATGTTGCTGGAATATTGCTAAAAGCAGCGTAAAACCAAACTCAGTCAGTCAGTTATAAACTTTCAATCCAGGTGCTATCAACAAGAGAAACCAAAGACGTACTTGAGTTTTGCTTGAGCTGCCAAGCGAAAACAAACTCGTTTCAGTTTTATATTTATGGGTGCGCTAACCCGACCCGGCCTAGAGTGAACACTGCATTTGTCTGGTGTAACATACATCAAGGTGTGGACTGGGCTTGCGGTATGATGATCCGATATCTGCCATGGTGTCTAAAAAGCGTAATGTATTTCCATAGCTGCCACAGCCTGTGAAGTCAAGAAAGCTGCCCTGGAAATAACAGAAAAATGAGTTGCATTATTGTTCTAAACATATTTTATTGTCCAGAAGGACAAAGGGATTGGGCACAAGTGTACCACTTTCTGTCGCAGTCTCCCTACAAATACAGTAAAACATAATATCACATAATTAAATTATTATTTAATTACATTATCTAATAATCGGATCATTTGCCTATCAAAAATGATATTATGAAACCATAGTATGTGAACAAAGATGTATGTTCACTATATGCAACATTAGTGGTGGTCCGATAAATTGAAATAATTAAAGATTGGTCGCAGTGACTAACAACCAAGCAATCGATCATGTTTTCTCATAATCGAACACAAACAATTCTGGAACACTTGTTCTCATTAACAATTTTTTCACAAGGTTGGTTTTGTCTGTTACATTTCATAAGCACTACAAGCTCGTTTCAAGTCATGATTGAATTTATCTTAAAGACTCCAAGAAATTTATGTTCCTCCATGCTAGTCATCCTTTAAAGATGTGGAATTTTGCACAAAAAAACCCAAAGAACTACATGTTTTTTCTTTATTTTTATGTGCATTAACAAATTCGATTAATGACATTAACCAATTTTTTTCGAGGATTGATCGGTTGTAATGAACCAATCATCAATTATAAGATTTTAACCAATTCCCAACACTATGCAACATAAGATGTGTGTAAAATGGTAAATATTTTGAAGGAACGACTTAATAACACTGTAATTGAACATAATACATTTTAAAGAAAAGCTGTGTTAACCTCTCTGAAAGTATTATTATTTCAATGGCAGTGTGGAAAATTGATGAGAATGTTGAAATATTTATCATCTGTGAAAAACAGTTCCCCTCAATTCCTTGAAAATGCATGAGTGGGGAGTGGATTTAAGGAAGTTTAAAAGAAGAGGACCAAAGGTGCTGGGTTTTGGATTTTGAATTGGGCCAGACCAATTTTAACCTTGTAGCCAAATCAAAACTGTCGTATTTTCAAACATAAGGCCAGACCAATTTTATTTCTTGTTTTCTGGATCTGCCCATGGTAATTTTTCAAGAATAAAAAAATAAATAATTGTTTTTTGCCCCATATACACTTCATAAATTGCCAAAAGTAAAATACTTTTAATATTTAGGCGGAATATTTCATTGACTGGTGATTTTATTTTTTTTTTTTTCCCTCCTGCCTTTAGGTTTTCTGAGGACAAAAATCAAGTAAAACAAGAAATATAATTGGTCTGGCCTAAAATGAATTAAATCAATTCTTATTTATCATCTGTGAAAAATAGTTCCCCTCAATTCATGCAAAATGCATGAGTGGGGAGGAAAGTAAGGAAGTTCAAAACAGAGGACCAAAGGTGCTGTGGTGGATTGGATTTTGAATGGGGCCAAGAAAACTGTAGCCAAACCAAAAACGTTTTTAATCATAAATGAATTAAATCAATTCTTTGAAAATGTAACAACCTGCAACATATATGTAGTCAATATATATTTTGGACTCGCTGCTGTTGCAAAACCTTTCATTCAAAAAACAAATTACTAAAAATTTAGGGGCTAAATTATGTCTTTAAAACAAAACATTTTGCAACAGTAGACTTGAATGAAGCAAAATATTTTTTTCAGCTATGGCTGCAAAACCAGATATTTTAGGGTAAAACATAGGGCCTTCATTGTTTCTTGAAAAACTCAACATGATGGAACAGTGTATCTTTTAAGCCAAACAATATATATTCAACATTTGATGCTTCTCTCAATATGTTTGTAGAACAATTTCTTTATTTTGTATTTTTGGTGAACTCCGACATCAAATGGTCTGATGATCAGTCTCAATTGCTTGTTTTACATTGTCAAAACTGATCCGTGAAGTGTAATTCATGACCATTCATAATTCATGGCTAGGGGGTTACATGGGGAGATAGGGAGGGAATGATTTTACAAGTACTAAGGGGTGGGGCTGGGCTGGGGTGGGGTGGTGTGTCACTTACCTTGGTCATTCACAGTGTATACAAGCTTCCCCATCAAAATCATCATTTTCTCTTCCCCCCCATTCCTAGCCATAAATTAAGATAATTAAGTAATTTGTTACCACAAGTTGTAGTAAGTTAAATCCAGCTGTGTATATCCTGAGTTTCCAGGGTTCTGGCAGATCGTCAGGTATAGGTGTGTAGAGGTAGACAGATAGCCCTGTCACTATCACTGACACCAACAGGGCAGACATCTTTAAGCATCCCATGTTTGAGGTAGCTGGAACTTCAACACAAGAGTGCACAGTGAGTATGGTTTTACGCCGCTTTCAGGAATATTTCAGCAATATCACGGCTGGGGACACCAGAAATTCACCTAAGGAATCAAACCTGGGTATTTGGCATGACAAGCGAACGCTTTAACCACTAGTGGTGGTCCGATTAATTGAAATAATCGAAGATTGGTCGCAGTGACCAAACGACCAAGCAACTGATCACATTTTCTCATAATCGAACACAAACGATTTTGGAACTACTGTTTTAGTGTTTGAAACACTTAACGATGGAACATATCTCAGAAGTAGTCAGTGCCTGAAAACATGTTTAATTCTTAAAAAATCACTCCACTTACTGAAAAGTCATGACTGAATATTTCATGAAGACTCTGGGAAGTTTATGTTTGTGATAAAGCAGCAAGTTGCATCTTTACACTGGATGCGAAATTTGCAAATACAATTTGCGCAGTAAAGCAAAAAACAGAGAACTACATGTTTTTCCATAATACTTATCTGCAATAACAACCTGAAAAGGAAAAATCTGAAAAATGACACTAAACAATTTTTTTCGATGATTGCTAGTTGTGTGAACCAATCATCAGTTGTGAGATTTCAATCAATTCCCAACACTGATAACCACTAGGCTACCCCACCACTGTAGTGAGTGAGTGAGTGAGTGAGCAAGTTTAGTTTTACGCTGCTTGTAGCAATATTCCAGCAATAATATGGCGGGGTACAACAGAAATGGGCTTCACACATTGTACCCATGTGGGGAATAAAACTCAGGAATTCGGCATGACGTTGAACGCTTTAACCACTAGGCTACCCCACCACTATAGATATATTCAGAGATTGTTGTGTACATTTTCAGTATTTCTATACATATTGCAAAACACATGTCCATAAACGACGATATGAAAAGGTACACATGGAGAGGGTCTATATATGAGAAAAAGATTGCAGTTGGTTATTGTACAGCCAGGATTGTACTGAAATAAATCCCATTATGTATATCCTCAATTACCTAGTTTTACCTCAGTTCTATTATTTATATCATTTTGGTGAAATAAAATGTCCCCTTTCAAACATTTTAAAATTGGTTGTTGTACGGTGAAACATGGACTAACAGCTAGTCTCTAAAATTAACATATTTTACAGAAAATAAAAGTTTTAAATTAAAATTATAAATACAATAAAAAGGAGCCCAGAGAATTTCTTCATTTTAAACTTCCCACACATTCTAGACTTGCATGGACTGCATTGGGTATATTTGTTTCAGGGTCTGTATAGCAGACTATAGTCTGTTTGCAGTGAAAATGTACCGATGAATTTCACTTAAGTAAATCAAATAAAGTGAAATTAAGATTGCGAATCCTCATAATTTTACTTTGGCAATTAAACATATAAATTTAAGAATTTTTTTCAACTTAGGATAAAAGTTGTTTAACAGACGATCATAGATTCAAATCACTATTATTGGTTTGTATTACAAGGGAGTAGATGCAGTGATTGGAACAGTGATACAAATGCACGTGCACTGCAGTACGTGATGAGCGTTAACATAGACCAACCCTACTTCTTCGTGGTGTTTCATTTAATGTGCATACCCCTTTGTAATACAAACAAACAATATTTAGCGATTTGAAACTATGATCGTTTGTCAAACAACTTTTATCCTAAGTTGAATAAAATTCTGAGATTTAAATGTTCAATGGGCAAGGTAAATTCATGAGGATTCGTTCTTCTAATTTCACTTTATTTGATTTACGTTTTTGTTTAAAGTGAAATTCATCGGTACGTTTTCACTGCAAACAGACTATAGGTGAAACAGATGTTTGATTGGCATTTTAGAAGATTGTATTTGTTGAACATAGAGACTTTTCTCTGGGTTTCATCTTCATTTTATAGTTGGGTACAACGTTTCAGGGCTTGTTCTAGCCCCATCATCAGGTTTAACTAGAGAACAGTAACTGTAATAGATGAAACAGACTATACGATAAAACCATGGCGACACATCGGTAGCTCAAATTACAAAAGCGCTGCCGGGAGCTTTCATACTTAACCATGCGTTTCCTCATTCATCAACAGGTTCGTGCCATTTGATCAAAACAAGCACTGATGATAAATACTTACAGAACTACACATCCCTTATCGATACAACACAACGACTGTCGCTGTATGCGTTGAAAATATGTCTCATTTCCTCTTTCGTCAGTGTGCTACTTACAGTGGAGGCGCACGTTCACAACTCCTTGCAGCGTGTCGATGGATCGGCAGGCGAGCAGGGAGACATTATTATTTTCAATTTTCGGGGTTTTCTGAAACATTCATCAATCCCAGCTGTTTCACAGCGCATTCTTAAACACAGTTGCCTTTCATGATCATAAAATGTACCCATTTCTCGGCTATGTTCAAGAGTCCACAGTTTTGTTTAACTAACTTTCCGCAAAAGAAATATATATGCGATATTCTGCTTTCTGTTGACACGGCGATACGCAATGGGTCTGATGGCAAAGGTAATAGAATTTTGAAATTTATAGCGACCGATAGTGCTGATCCCCTCTCTTGCAAGTGATGTGAAGCCCATTTCTGGTGACCCGGCCCGTCGTGATATTGCTGAAAAATTGCTAAAACCGGCGTAAAACCATACTCACTCACTCTCTCTTGCCATTAAGTGAGTGAGTTTAATTTTTACGCGGCACTCAGCAATATTCCAGCTATATCACCGTGGGGGACACCAGAACTGAAAAGAATCGAACCCGGGTCTTCGGCGTGTCGAGCAAACGCTTTACCCTGTCAATAATCGAGTCTGGACCAGACAATCCAGTGATCAGCAGCATGAGCATCGATCTACGCAATTTGGATACGATGACATGTGTCAACCAAGTCAGCGAGCCTGACCACCCGATCCCGTTAGTCACCACTTGCGACAAGCATATGGGTCACTGAAGATCAATTCTAACCCTGATCTTCACGGGTCCTCTCGCCAATGAATCTTACGCTGAAACCCAATAAGCAGGTCCAATGTCTCACTGCCATATATAAAACATCAAATTATTTTGCATGATGTTGTGTGTGAGGTGAGGTGAGGTGAAATTGGGTTTAACGTCGTGCTTGAGAATATTTCGCTCATATGACGACGTGCATGCACGTGTATGTGTATGTGCGGCTGCTTGTACTAGCCCAGACTTTAGCTTGTTTCATAGTGCTAGCCCACTGAGATACCTTGCCGCAGTGAAGCATGAATACCCCACTCAGACACATTATACTGACTCCGAGCCGACCAGTCCTTGTTGTACCCATTAATGCCGAGCGCCAGGCAGGGACCAACAAGTACCATATTTTAAAGGTCACATAAACCCTAGGGGGTAAAAATACATAAATCACTAACTGGCATCGTTATAAATGAAACCCCGTCATTAAAACTACTCATTTCGACCTTTAATTGACTTAAATCGACCTTTTTGACAACAGTGCACAATTCTCACCCGCGAACGAAATTTCAACCAATCAGAGCGGCGCGACTCTGTGACGTCATATGAGGAATAGCTTTGAGGGCCGATGCAGAATTCATCTACATTTTAGGGGGTAAATTATCTTGTTTACAGGCTTGTATAAACCTGAAATCGTGACAATTGTTGTGGAAAATGAAAGATATATGTTCTCACTATCTACTGGCATTTAATTTTGTCTCCTGCTTTGCCTAGTTTCCGAGTTACAACTTGTTTTCATAGACGCTTCTGTCACAATTGATTGGTGTCGTTAGGCCCTATTTGTATAATGACTGATCCAAATTGATCCCATTTCTGTGTTTTTTTTACCTCGATATTTAATCATGTCATGTAAAAATCTGTTTGTATTCTCAAAACAGTGTCGGCCCATAAGTTTTCACATGCAATACAGCAATTAATACTCCCTTGTTGTAACCCGTGTTAGGTGGTATAAACCTACACATGTTATTTGTCATCATTCACTTGATGGTCAGTTAATGAATTTATAACAGGTATAATTAGTGGTAAGACACTTAGATTACCCGACAAAGGTTCCCATTTGGCATTTCTTGTGTCTGGAGTAAATATTCAACATTATAAACATCGATCAAAGGATTAACCGATAACACGCTGATTGATTAATTACTTTTATCTTACAGCGGAATTGTCAAAAGGTAGTGTTTATGTATGTAGATTTACTAATTTATACTGAATACACTCTGCCGTGTCGGTGTCTGCGTAAAAACAACGTCCTTCTTTCAAAGGATTAACCGGCAATTGATTGATTGCCCATTATTGGCTAACTAAATTACTGTTTTTAATGAAAGGCGGACATTATGCAATTAGTTGCCAGGTGTGCTATCTTGGGTGATCAATGAGACTATACACCAATACCTGAAAAGATTTATCACTTTTTCGTATATTAAACTGTTAAAAGACACATCATTTGGAACAGTTTTGTGAATATTGATTGATACATTCCTCAAACAAGGTAATGGCCTGATATTGTTCCTATAACTTTAATCTGTTTTAATTTTAATATTTGCATTTTGTTTTTTATTCATTTGTCGTAGCATTCAACAGAATCATTGTTTTCGCCGTGAAGTGTAATGAGACAGACAACATACACTAGGGGTGTGTGTGCGAATTATGATTCACATTGGCAAACTATAAAATGTCTAGATATTACAGTTCTGTTATAAATTCACTATAAGTATCAGCAGATCGTCAGCTTTTTATTTAGTTTCAACATGCATAAAAGTATGATAATAAACTAATTAGGATTATAAGACCAAATATAAAGACGCACATTGACTAGTATCTACATACTGGTGAGTGGACATTAACCCTGTGAATGTAGCAAGATATTTATCGCGCAGTATTGTGACTTCGACCCCCACCTCGCTTCCGTGGAAGAAATCGTTATGTTATAAGTTGTGTCATGCAAAATCCTTTTGGTTATGATTCCAATACATATTTAACTACGAGTAGAAAGTAGTTTTGATTTTCTAACTTGATGTTTTGTATAATATTCGAGACGCCGGCATTCGACTCATCGGGATTTGACTGGATATCATGATGACGGATGTCCGGTCATTCTGAAATAAGGCTTTGTGTATGTGACAATGAATTGTACGTTACTGTCCCAACCTGGAAGTACACCAAGATCACTATGATCTGGTCTTATTGCAGCTACAACCAAAGTTCATTGTGCTGTTTTCCTTCCTTAACATCATGCACACTTCACGTGCAAGCAACTGATTTAAATCTTAATGAATTTCTTCCGAAGTTAGACTTCAGTTCTTCTATGTCCTAACGTTTGCAGAAATATACGTCAACCACACATTGTGATTCCTTTACATCAGCGATCCATAGTGACTCATTTGTCAGTCAAATATAAAGGTAGTGCCTAAGTCATTTCTTTTAGGATATTCACAAATTCACATTATTTCCAAACTGCTATATATATATACTCAGCAGCAAAACAACGTCGGTGCGAATTCAAAATTAGATAGGCACTGTAAGCAAATCATTACAGAAATGGACATAATAAGCGGATCAAAAGAGGTTTTTTGTGTACAATATCTTGTCACATCAATGAAGAACTCAGCACAATTTCAAGACATTACGTGAACGTTTGCAGTCCATTCAGACCCTTGATTTCAGTTTCTAGTGTGACCACAACGGGCGGCTATAACTGCAGCACAGCGTCTATGCATGGAGTGCACCACTCGATTGATGAAGGCCATGGGCACCTGGAACCACACTCTGAGAAAGGCATGGCGCAATAAATCGGCTGTGTTCGGCCTTGGTATGACAATATTCAGTCTCTTCTGAATTTCACCCCAAAGATGTTCAATTGGGTTTAAATCGGGACTAAGGGCTCGGCACTGAATAATGGTGATACCGTTCTGCTGTAGGAAGTCCCGTGTAGCTCTGGCAGTATGGGCCCGGGCGTTATCATGCTGGAAAATGTTGTTCCGGTGACATGCGAAATGTGGTATGACGTGGGGTCTGAGAGCTTGGTCGATGTAGCGCACCGCTGTGATGCCGCCTCCTCTCCCTGGACCAAGGTTCTGGAACACAACAGGACCCACTCTCTGGTTCAGGCCTATTCCACCCCATACCATGATGCTTGCACGCCTCCATGAGTCTCTTTCCATAACACATTGGTCTGAGTAACGCTGGCCACGTCGTCCCCATAATTATTCTTGTTCTGCCATCTGCAGTTGATACACAGTAACGACTCTCATCTGTGAACAGAACAGTTCTCCATTGCCTGTATCGCCAGTTTTGGTGTTGTAGGGCAAACTGTAGACGTTAACGCCGATGACGAGGGGTGAGGATAGGTCCACGGTAAGGTCTACGGCAATGGAGGTTCCCGCTGTTAAGACGTCGGCGTTCTGCATCATTACTGATTGGTCTTCCGTGTGTTCCCACTGTCTGGCGGGCTGTTTCGGATGCCTACATGAAGGGATTATACATGCTGTCGCACAACACGGCGGTCTTGTCGTCTTGTGATCACCCTTGGTCTGCCAGTACGGGGACGATCATTTGTGGTGTAGGTGGCCCGGAAACGTTGCTGCAGCCTGTAGATGGTCCGAACGTTAACCTGGAAGTGATTGACAACGGCTTGTGCAGTGTGGCCAGCTTCAAGTCTTCCTGCTAGCGCCTGGCTCCTCTCAGCTGTCGTGAGTCGCGGCATCCTGCTGACGTTGTAATGTGAATGTTTCAACCAGGTTTTGGGGTGACGTTTATAGGGCTGGTCCTTGTGAACAGCACGTGCATGACTTGCATGAAAAACATGGAGAACACCGTACCATCAGGTACGTTTTTGAGACCATTTCCTGGATTCAATTCTGAGTTTCGGAAGGAATGTCTTTGCTCAGATAAAGTTGGAGATGTTGTCAAACACATACAATCAAAACCTTAAATGAGTTTACAGTTATACGTTTATGCGAAGGAAAATTCCAAACTGACGTTTCTTTTGCTGCTTAGTATACAATTACACGGTCTACAAATATTCAAATCCGGGAGTAATTTTAACAATGAAATGTACGTTACTGTCTTTTCTTCTTAAGAATAATTTGACAAATTTTGTAAGGCTTATTATGTTTATGTAACTTACATGGACTATTAGAATCAGAAGTTTCGATTCGAAGTCGATTTTAACTGGTGAGATAATGATTAAATGAACCAATGTGAAATATACGTGACCGAAATGTACGTTACCCAGTTTGTACGAAAATTACTGATCTTCAACCTGGTGACGAAACATCAGTCTGAATTTGAATTGAAGGCCAGATGAAACTATTTTTGCAGCAGGCCATGGCAAAGGTCCCTGTGACGGCCTTGGCGGTGTGACAGTGCAAAGCAGATGAATCAGTGAGGAGTGGCGTATGTGTGATACAGGATATATGATGCAGAGGATTTCTTTAGGTGGACTGAAAATTCAAGTCTCAAATCTGTGAAGTTCATTTTTGTTCCTAAAGAAGATTTCCAAGAATGCCAAGAAACCGTGAATGCTGTTAGTTCTCAATGTTTTATCGTATTAAAGTTGGAAGTTACAATTGCCTGTTGGTTTAAAGCCTTTCTTGTGGAGCTCACAAACCAGGAGCATTTCTATCATAGTTCTATGTGTTTTATGTATCCCTAATTTGTGTGTTAGACTGTTAAGTGAATCATGATCTGATCTTTACTGATGGGTTATTTCATAGAATACTTGTTCTTTGCTTCGTCTGTAGGTATTTTCATGTAAATTAAAAGACAGCTTCAATGAAAAAGCTTCTATCAATAACTTAATTATGCTCCCTGCTTCTCACTAATACAAAAAAGTGTTTGAGTCACAGTACACCAATCGGTAGATCATATTATGTTGGCATTTACGAAATGTATGTTACATTTTTCGTGGGTTACAATATTGACTTACATGACAAATTGTTTTAGCACAGTGTCTACTTTTATCCGAAATAGGAGCAAACACTATACTTGGATGGACATGAATGCTCTTTAAGTATTGAGACGTTATTCGGGTTTAAACCTTGAATTTCGAATGATCAAGTTGTTGATTTCTTGCTGTTCATGTTCGAGTGAGGCATATTGTGCTGACACCTCCCTCATCCTAGCGTTTTTTCTGGATTTATTGATTTTCTGTGAGTGAAGGAAAACCGCTGAAGCACTACAATGTGTTTGCGATTATTTCTATAGATAATGAGCATTTTGTTCAGAGGTCAGAGAGTCTGGTGACATACATTTCCAAGCGGACTTCACGAGTTGCCAAACACTGATATTGCACGGATCATAACTGAAAATATATACAACGTAACTTGAAACCATTTTAGTTTTGTAATCCCGAAATAGCATGTTACGAAATGAATAGGTAATCTTTGAACTTCAGGGGGTTTATTTTTTGAAGTTTTCTCACATGCAAATCGACCTGTATATTGGGTTTCAGTGTACACCCGCAGTAAGATTTCCGACGATCAGATCAATAACACACTGATACGCTCCAGTGAACACATGTCGATGACTCACTACGACACCAATGCACAGGTGTAAACAATCACTGTCCCACATATGGGGATCTATGCACAACGGGTATGTGCTTACCCAGATTGTAAGGAGTGGCATTGGGGTTCACTGTCAAAAACATAATTATACATAGATACATACATAGATACATACATACATACATACATACATACATACATACATACATACATACATACATACATACATACATACATACATACATACATACATACATACATACATACATACATACATACATACATACATACATACATACATACATACATACATACATACATACAAACATACATATGACACATTAGCCTAGAAACATTTTCCCACACATTTGATTTGAGACACAATCCTTTTTTGTTCTTTTCTCATATACTTGAAGGTAAAAATGAAAGGAGAGCCCTGTTTGTTCTTATTGTCGATACACGCCTGTCTACGGCCTGAAGGGAGAATGGAATATTCCGGAAACAGAACATGAGTAGAGTCGCTTAAAGGTCACATGCAACGTAAAACACAACTTTGCAGATTCTGATACCTTTCGGTATGGACTTACCGAAACAAATCATCAAATATGCAAATTCAACTTATAAAGTTGAAAAATAACGCGATGAAAAAACCCGCGCGAAATCGGAGTTCAAACGATTCACTAATTTTCCCCCGACTTTTCTGGGGAAAACTGGTTTCAACAGCTGGGCTGCGCTCATAGCACGTGCGCAGTGAAATAGGTTCGCGCAACTTGGAAGCGGGCTGTCCGGTGAATACTCGGTGAAGGCTTTGGTGTGAGCTATTTTCCTAATGTTTTGTTGATATCTCATAGGCGCGAGCTTTTTATATGTTATGACAGTAAATAAACTGTTTATATAATTTCATTTGTCTATTTCACCACACGTTCTTCGAACCGAGTCAAAACATGCCTAGTGATTCAAACGCGTTACCGTATTTAACAAAACAAGACATGTTTCCTCATAATTTCCTTCAGATCACAACAGATTTTATTTCTATAATTAGCACAATATAATATACCAATAGGTATTTTAATATAATATTATCACATAATAATAAATCTTAATCTGAAAAACATAATAATAACGATAATGATTTAGTTTGTTGTCATGTGTACAAACAGGTAACATGGCGTAAGATCACAAAGCAAACATTTACAATTTACAAACATTCTTTTTTCAACCTTTCTTTTGGACGTCTAAATCACTGTTATTGGTTTATGTCGGCATGGTCGAAAATAGGACAATTTAACTCTTCTGAAAAAGATGTATTTCACCTAAATATGAATGTGTTTGAGAATTTGGTTCGTGATTTGCATAAAGCTGTGTTGTTAAGCTCCCTTGTAAACTAATACCTTCTAACATATCTTTGATAATTTTTAAGTATTTCATAAAGGTAGTGGGGTAACGTTTCTTTTGGCGTTAGTGTAGGAACAGTCTTTTACCGGTACTGCTAAACACCACGCTTGTGAGTAGGAAAGATTTTATTCGTTTCTTGTGAAATCAAAATTATACATGGGGACACTCTTTTACCGGTTACGGTAATCTATTAATTAATTAATCTATTGGAAATGTGGCTTTACCGGCTACAGCCATGTAATTGAAATGTGGCCTTCCCGGCAATAGTCATTTTTGAAATGTGGTTTTCCCGGCCTGCCACCGTACTGAAGCTGAAAGTACCGTATTTGCGGTACGAGTACCGATCTCTGATAGAAGCAACTCTCTAATGGACGGAGGTATGGTCATCCGCTTCACCCCCCAAATTAACGTCCGTCTCGTGTGCCTCCAACGTTGCCCCATACACTGCCAATAGGGACAAGTTACCTTTGTTGCCTTGTAGAATTACATACCGTGACACCATTTTGAATGTCGCTGGCTTACGTGGGAAGCACCTGTCTCAGTCGCGGCAAGGCGTAGTGCAACGATGCATGCAACGATGCGTTGTTTAGCCAATAACAGCCCAGCGCTGCTCAGAGGATCGGCTAAACAACACGCCCTAGCGTCAATGGCGATGCTTAGATGATTTTGTTGTGTAAAGGTAAGTGATCCTCGATCTAAAACCTTAAGGTATAGCTAACCATAAAAAAAAAGTTTTTAAAAGAAGTCAACATGGCTAGAAAATAATGGCATAAGGTACCCAAAAGCTAGAGGAAATGGTAAAATGCAAGTGAAGCCAGAACGTAAACAAACCTCGTTGCTAAGGAAACGAACTGCGCATTTATCTCGCGCAGTTCCAATAATGTCGGTGTTCTAAAAAAAATGTGTCCCGTATTCTGCAGTCTTTGCAAAAAAACCACTAATAGTTCAGCGTATACCAGCGCTTTAGAGAGATTGTGATACGTCGGCATAGGCTGGCTACAACGTCAAAGTGTGACAGAGCCTAACCTCATAGGACAGGCATAACACAAACGAAGCAGTGTGTGCATTGCGTGAGCTTTTGTGGACATTTAATAGCAACAGGTAGGTATGATTCAGCTATTTGTGAAGCCACATATATCAAGCATGAACGAAGATATGGATCACAGGGAGATGTGAGAGGAGTACAGTACACTTGCCCGTGAGTTACAGCTAGGAGTTACGAGGAGACGGAATTCGGAAATAGTATACGGGTGAGCGTAGTATATTTTCCATAGCTTGGCACCTTCCTCTTTATCGTGTCATTGAATTATATAATGATCTTGCTACTGGCCAATGAGACATCGTCCTCTGTTGGTTACCCAGCCAGGTTGGAATTTCTGGCAACACAATGGCCGATTTTACTGCTAAGGCAGCACTCAGCAAATCTGTGACACCACTTCTCATTCCATTCTCTGATTACAAAGCTACATATCATTAGAGATTACATCCGTGATCTGATGCAGAAGTGGGACACTCAAATAGGTATTAATAAATTACATCAAATAAACCCAACTGTCACTTACACCTACTTGGGTTGTCAGTCCAGATTTGAAGAGGTCATAATGAGACGTTGTCGTGTTGGCCATGAAAAATATACTCACGAATACCTACTGAAAGGTGAGGATATTCCGTTTTGCATCCATTGTGGTTAAAGAATCACGGCCAAGCATGTCCTACTTGACTGCATTGGATTTTCCCATCACAAGGGATAAATATTTCAAATCAACTTATGTGAAGGATTTTTTAATTGTATCAGTGCTCATTCAGTCATTTTGATTTGTATTGTAATTAGTATAAGAATTTTAATTTGTGTCAATGACTAAATAACTTTGATTGTAAGAAGCTATACCTTCATAGGGGGTTGAAGTAGCGTAACATTATTGTCTCCCGGAGAGGGTATGTAAGTCCCATTTTAATTAAAGTATTTTTCATTGTCCGTGATTATAATCGTAGTACATGTATATCTGTTCTTGTAATATATATGCAAAAATCACCAACATCTGAAAGAATAATGTAAATCCAGCTAGGGTCCATGCAGATAGCAAAAGTACTGTAAGTCCCCATGGTCCCCAGCATCGTGATGTACCTTCAGTTGCTGGTGATCTTCAGCCCGATTTTATATTGTATTGCCCATAATATCAGTTTAGTTTTAAGGTTACATGTTAGTTTTATTCTATATTCTATCTGTGATAATCTAGTTATTTTACTGTCCTTCGTCGTCAGTTTTAGTACTTATATTGCGTTTATTATGAATGTATAACTTTTAAAGTCACGATGTGGCTGAAATATTGCCGATGTGACTATAAATCTTAACTCACTCACTAACTAAAACATCTTTATCGTACAGAGAAACCTGCTTGTTAGCATACAGCTCGTAGATCTGTCGTTTGTTAATACACAGATGGTAACACACAAATACGTCATATTTTGGAAACTGCTGTCCACGTTTTAAAAGATGCAAAATTACTATAGACTGGATCGTGTAATCTACCCAGATTAAATGAACACCATGTGTGAACACATAAACGACTTTCAATTTGTTAATGAATCCCGAAAAGGGCATTTCATTCAGGGCTCCCTCCTGAAACGTAGATTACAATAGTGTTTTTAGCCGGAAACCCATTGAAGAAATTGCATAATTGTTTTTAGCTGGTTCTTTATAAACGTATATTACACTAGTGTTATTAATCGGGAACTGATTGAAGAAATTACAATATTGTTTTAAGCTGTGTTCTTTATAAACGTAGATTACACTGGTGTTATTAATCGGAAACTGATTAAAGAAATTACAATATTGTTTTAAGCTGTGTTCTTTATAAACGTAGATTACAATAGTGTTATTAGTCGGAAACCTATTGAAGAAATTACAATATTGTTTTAAGCTGTGTTCTTTATAAACGTAGATTACACTAGTAGTGATTAAAGAAATTAATCGGAAACTGATTTAAAGAAATTACAATATTGTTTTAAGCTGTGTTCTTTATAAACGTAGATTACACTAGTGTTATTAGCCGGAAACCTATTGAAGAAATTGCAATATTGTTTTAAGCTGTGTTCTTTATAAACGTAGATTACAATAGTGTTATTAATCGGAACCGATTGAAGAAATTACAATATTGTTTTAAGCTGTGTTCTTTATAAACGTAGATTACAATAGTGTTATTAATCGGAAACTGATAAAAGAAATTACATCATTGTTTTAAGCTGTGTTCTTTATAAACGTAGATTACACTAGTGTTATTAGCCGGAAACCGATTGAAGAAATTGCAATATTGTTTTAAGCTGGTTCTTTACAAACGTAGATTACAATAGTGTTTTTAATCGGGAACTGTTTTGAGAAATTTCATTATTTTTATAAGCTGGTTCGTTATGAACGTAGATTACAGAAGTATTATTAATTGGAAAATGGTCGAAGAAATTACATTAAAGTTATAAGTTTATTCGTTTTAAACGTAGACATCAGTATTGCTAATAATCGGAGACTGATTTGAAAAAAATTACATTATTGTTATAAACTTGTTCGTTATAAACCTCGGTAACAGTATTGTTATTAATCGAAAACTGATTGAATAAATTACAGTATCCTCATAAGTTTATTCGCTGTAAATGTAGATTACAGTATTGTTATTTATCGAAAACTGATTGAATAAATTACATTATCCACATAAGTTTATTCGTTGTAAACGCAGAGAACAGCATTGTTATTTATCGGAAACTGGTTAAAGAAATTACAGTATCCACATAAGTTTATTCGCTGTAAATGTAGATTACAGTATTGTTATTAATCGGAAACTGATCATGACTAGGAAATTACATTGAATGGGAAAGGTGGAGTAATTAGTCACATATTATGTAGCAGCTCGATACGGTCAGATAGTCAAGGCTTTGACCTACTTCTTGTGTGTTGAGGGCAAACCGCATAGCTGCACTCGGCTACGTCATTCGTCAGGCGTAAATGGCATACAGTGGACTCCCTCTAAACCGACATCCATCTAATCCGACATTTCTTTTGGTCCCGAATTTGTCCCTATATCATATCATATAAGAAATTCCCTCTAATCCGGCATCCTCAAATTCGATCAAAAAATATGTTTTTTGTGTGCAAAGTGACTCTCTCTAAACCAACATTGTATTTTCACAAGGGTAGTTCACAACTGAATCAATCTTCATCCAAGCAAGTCAAGTTTTGCAGTCCTGAATAGCTTCCTAAAACTGACAATGTTTTATGTAAAGAACACGTTGTTCAGTTAAGAAGATCGCCCGCAGTGACAAAAATGGCTGCTTTACTGCAATGCTATGTTGGGTGGCCTAGTTATTGAAGCATTCGCTCATCACACGGGGTGATTGAGTTAATATTTATCGTCACATCGGCAATACTTCAGCCATATCGTGACAAACCATCGCGCTGAAGACCCGGGTTCACTACGTCAGTTTGACTTCATAGAAGGGTGGAAGGTTTGCCCCCTGACGTTGCCGTTCGTCACCGTCCTGTGAAATTTTGAATGTTGGCCAGATGTAAACGAGGTGTGTCATGGCGTCCCTCCCATATCTCCAGAGACTATTGTACATATTGCAGTGTTATTGATTTTGGTATTCCCTGGACTAAGAGTACATAGCAGCATAATGTCGTGAGTGGGTTTCCGTTGAAACCCTCGCCAGGATTATGATGATGATGATGATGATGATGATGATGATGATGAAGTGAGGTGAGGTGAGGTGAGGTGAGGTGAGGTGAGGTGAAATTGGGTTTAACGTCGTGCTTGAGAATATTTCGCTCATATGACGACGTGCATGCGTGTGTATGTGTATGTGCGGCTGCTTGTACTAGTCCAGACTTAAGCTGGTTTTATAGTGCTAGCCCACTGAGATACCATGCCGCAGTGAAGCATGAATACCCCACTCAGACACACTCACCGTGGGGACACCAGAACTGAAAAGAATCGAACCCGGGTCTTCGGCGTGTCGAGCAAACGCTTTACCCTGTCAATAATCGAGTCTGGACCAGACAATCCAGTGATCAGCAGCATGAGCATCGATCTACGCAATTTGGATACGATGACATGTGTCAACCAAGTCAGCGAGCCTGACCACCCGATCCCGTTAGTCACCACTTGCGACAAGCATATGGGTCACTGAAGATCAATTCTAACCCTGATCTTCACGGGTCCTCTCGCCAATGAATCTTACGCTGAAACCCAATAAGCAGGTCCAATGTCTCACTGCCATATATAAAACATCAAATTATTTTGCATGATGTTGTGTGTGAGGTGAGGTGAGGTGAAATTGGGTTTAACGTCGTGCTTGAGAATATTTCGCTCATATGACGACGTGCATGCGTGTGTATGTGTATGTGCGGCTGCTTGGACTAGTCCAGACTTAAGCTGGTTTTATAGTGCTAGCTCACTGAGATACCATGCTGCAGTGAAGCATGAATACCCCACTCAGACACATTATACTGACTCCGACCAGTCCTTGTTGTACCCATTAATGCCGAGCGCCAGGCAGGGACCAACAAGTACCATATTTTAACGTCTCTAGGTATGACGCGGTCGGGCGGACGCTCTAACCAGTACACCACCCGTGATGATGATGATGATGATGATGATGATGATGATGATGACAGTGATATGATCACGTTATAAATTCATAGGCACCTCGTCTTCTACTACGTTTTCATTAGTCTCTCTCTCTCTCTCTTGTCATTCGTGATTTAACTTCAAACAACAGTGCTGTGAACTGTTTATTTAAACGAAATGCAAACCGTTATAAAGCAAACGTTAGACTTACAGGTCTTTCATACATAAGTATGCTTGTACAGTGCGGGGGCGGTGGGGTAGCCTAGTGGTTAAAGCGTTGGCTCGTCATGCCGAAGACCCGGGTTCGATTCCCCACACGGGCACAATGCGTGAAGCCCATTTTCTGGTGTCCCCCGCCGTGATATTGCTGGAATATTGCTAAAAGCGACGTAAAACTAAACTCAGTCAGTCAGTTGTACAGTGCGTCTATTTCAAGCACAGAATGGAGACATGCTCTAAATGCCCTGAATGCACCTCGTCTTGATGCTCATGTGAAGGTAAGGGTTCGATTCCCCACATGGGTACAATGTGTGAAGCCCATTTCTTGTGTCCAGCTCACTCACTCACTCACTCACCCAAATGACATCACAATGAGTTTTACCCAACTGGATGAAGGAGTCCCGCCGTGATTTGTT